TTAGCTGTTGTATACATTAGCTGGTGTAGATTTTCTGGGTTGTATGGCCGTGGTCTTGGCAAGACCACGGCCATACAACCCGGAAAATCTACAACAGCTAATGAACTCCGGCCGTGAAAGCCTTTGACAACCTATTACATGAATACACATTGGGAAAGATTTCTTGTATCATTTTCCTTTTTACGTAGTCATTTGACCTGATATTGTAACCAAGGAGTTTATTTCTTTTTCCCACCTTACGATTTTAATATAGATATTTCGCTCACAGTTAAATATATAGTTCTTATTTCTTTTTGTTTTGGTTATAGGTCTAGGAATTTGTATGTTATGTTCTTCTATCCGTTTATAAAACTTTGACCATGTGTCCTCAAAATCTTCTTTGTTATTTCCTCTCAAAATTATAGTTAAGTTGTCCATCTCTGCTGTTTCCAGTATTTTATTTATGACTTCTTCCTTTGAAGGAGTTTCAGTTCTTCTCCAGTATTTAGCATATAGTATTCTTGCTGCTGTCACTGTATGTATATTAAGGTAAAAGTCTTGTTTTATATCATTCTCTGGTGATATATTGAACAAAAACAATTCTGGTGTATAAGGCACAATGGTTTTTAAAACTTTTTGCAAAAGTTCATGTATCCAGGTCCAATATGTTTTGGCTTTATCACATGTCTACCACATATGGAAAAATGAACCAGCATTGTTTTTACATTTCCAACAGTCATTTGGTGAGTCAGGATAGAATTTAGCTGATTTATTTGGAATAATATACCATTTATAAAACATTTTGTATATATTTTCCTTCATATGAAGTCACTTTAGTAATCTTTATGTTTGTTTTCCATACACGTAACCATTGGTTTCTTTTTCGCCCAGCTCCCACATAGAGATGTAAAATTTCCAGAAATCTTGAAGCTTGGGAAAAAACCCAGGTTTTTTTCAGGTTTTTTTTTAAAACCAGAAATTTTTGGAAAAATTGAAAAAAGTGCAACATTAGCACTTCTTTTTTCTTCTCCACACTGAAAGTCATTCTGTTACTTTAGGAACATAAAATATGACTATGGACATTTTTACTTGGCATGAAATTATCACAACTAGCATATTAAAAATATAGTGTATCCAAACAATTATTACAAACAGAATACCCACCCACATGCAAAAGCAAAACTGAAACCTTTTTCTTTTCTCGTGGCAACAGCAGCTCCTAAAGGAAGAAATGCCTCTTGTTCTTGCATTGGAGAGTTCAGTTTGTAACCTAGGACTTGCTTGTCCTCAGTGCACAGAAATTAGATCAATCTGATACCATACATATTTTTTAGAAATGATTTGGAAAATATTTGAACCACCTTGTCTTAAAATATTTTATTCATCATGTTAAAATAAAACGTTTCATAATCAATTTCTTTTCTTTTCTTTTTTCAATTTTTCTAATTTTTCGGGAAAAAACAAAAAAGGCTTCGGGGAAAAACGGGGAAAAACTGGTTTTTCCCTGAATTTTTCCGGGTTTTTTCTGGGCTTTCACGTCTCTGCTCCCACATCACGCTTACCAGCTCTGGGTCCTCTTTCTTAATTTTATGCACTCGTCTGCTGGATACACTGAGTCCGGGTAGCTTCGGTATCGCTCTTTTTTTCCCATTGAAAAAGTGGAAAGGAAGAGCCACGTTGACGGAAGAGACTGTGGTGGAATTTGCTATCTCAGCAGTTCCCCCTCCCCCTTACAGGGTTCCAAGTCTGCGTTTGGGCGCAGCATGCCAGCGAGCGACCTCGGCCCGGTCGCTCTCACTCTGCCTAATGTACTTCTCAGAGCAGTGGGGGGGTTGGAAACAGGCTAGGGGCGAGGAAGGGAAGCGACGGCACCATGCTCTCTTGGAGGCCAGGAAAGAGCAAAATGTGGTGATTTCTCTGGGGAATGGAACAAAGTTTGAGTCCAGTGGCCCCTTTAAGACCGAGACAGTTTTATTCTGGGTATCAGCTTTCACGTGCAGGCACACTTCTCCAGATAGATTCAGGCGGGTAGCCGTGTTGGACTGGAGCAGTAGAACACTGCTTTTCTCCTTTTCTCACAATACAAGAACTCGTGGACACTCCATGGAATTGCTGAGCGGTCAGGTTAGAACGGATAAGAGGAAGTCCTCCTTCACCCAAAGAGTGATTAACACATGGAATTTGGAATTCACTGCCACAGGAAGTGGTGGTGGCTACAAGCATGGACAGCTTCAAGAGGGAATTGGATAAGCATATGGAGCAGAGGTCCATCAGTGTCTATTAGCCACAAGGTATAGATAGGAACTCTCGGTCTGGGGCAAGTGATGCTCTGTCTTCTTGGTGCTTGGGGGGGTCAACAGTGGGAGGGCTCCTAGTCTCCTGGCCCCACTGCTGGACCTCCTGATGACACCTGGTATTTTTGGGCACTGTGTGACACAGAGTGTTGGACTGGATGGGCCCTTGGCCTGATGCAACATTGGCTTCTCTTACGTTCTTAGTAACGTTCGAGTCCAGCAGCACCTCTAAGACCAACAAACTTTTATTCTGGGGACAAGCTTTCGTGTGCATTCATATTTCTTCAGATTATCTTTGTTCTGCTGCTTCAGACCAACATGGCTACCCACCTAAATCTTCTCTGGGGAATGTCGGCTTTCTTAACAAAGTCAACTCAAGCTGCTAAAGGGGCATTTTTCTATTGGAAATTCTTCTTGGAAGCACAGAAGCTTCCTGCAGTATCCCTGATTCTCCACGTTTCCCGGTTAAGGGCAAAATGCCGTTCAAACAGATTACAAAGATGATCTGACTCCAGTGGCAACAAGAGGGGGAAAGAATTACTTAACAAAAAACCAGGAGCACATCTTACATGCAGTGTTCCCTCTGAGATGACTTAGCGTGAGCTAGCTCAACGTTTTTGAGCCTCCAGCGCACACATTTTTGTATTTGCTCAGGAAGGAGGGCTCCAGAGCAAACTAATTTATGGAGTAGCCAAATCGCTCACAATGTTAATGCCAGTAGCTCACAATGTGGAATCTTTGCTCACAAGACTCCACAGCTTAGAGGGAGCATTGACTCCAGCTTGCATGTCTCAAACCATCTGTCCTGACGGACCCCACCCAAGCCTCGATTTGGGCTTGCCATTCCGCAAAACTCCTTACTGTCTCCAAAGAACACATTTTAAAACCACACCTGCCCGCTGTACACTAAAGAGCTGCCCTAGTCCTTACTATTCGCGCGTTATTTACCCAAGGTATTTTCATCCATAATAACCCACTGCCTTTTGACACTGCTGTGAATTTCTGTAATGTATGCGAGCAAGTCAATAGTATTAATTACATGGAGCTCACTCCATCTTGCGGCACTCGGGTCTCGGACTGCTGAACTACCGACCTTCCGGTCTGCAGCTCAGTGTCTTAACCGCTTGAGCCACCCCTGCAGGGACCCTTAATTTATTGTGAACAGATTAACTTCAGAAAGGTTAACTTGCTAGAGCTCCAAGCTCAGGTAAGAGAGAGAAGAAGAAGACAGGTCCTATATAAGATGAAACGAGAAGGCAAACAAGGTCCAAAGAGGCTCAGCAGCTAACTGCCGGTTGTACCCCAGTGAGAGAGTTCTGTTAACCCTTTCCCTCCCAGAGACCATCTTGCAGGCAGATTTACAGCATCCAGCAGTTTCCACCTCTGCTTTGGCCTGCTGGTGGGGAAAGGCGGGTGCATTGTGGCTAGCTGGGGAAGAAGAACTGTTGGCATCCCGTCTGCTGTGAAACTGGATCACGGGCCCTGTTTTTTTTCATTATCCAGATCCTTGTGTAGAATCGTGAGCAGACCGGCGTGACTCAGGCCTGGCTTTGGTAGCGAACTCCTTGTAGAGTGGGGCCTCCAGCCAGACACTGAAATATCTGAGGCTTTAACCTCGGTCGGGGTCCCCTTTTAAAGCCCGTGGTTACCTTTGGGACTCTGACACGGGGCAGTGGGCCCAGTCACGAAAGGGGTGCGCCCCCCCAGGAGGCGGAGCCAACCACAAAATGTCAGGGAGTGAGACTATGTATAAACCTCCAAAGGAAGTTTAGAAAACTTATTGAGGGCACATTGTCCCTGGCAAGGCAATTTTATTTGCACTCTTAAGACCTAAAGTGGAAGGTACATAATATTTCCAGTTCATACAACTACTTCTGACATGAGGCCAGATAGATTTGTGGCCCCAAATAGAAACCTTTTGGTGTGTCATTCAGTTCCATATTGGAACATTCCAATTTTGGTCCTGTTTTATTTATTGTTTATCACCTTACATGTATTACAGGGACTCTGTTGCTTTGTGTATTTTGTACTATTTGACCATTGAAGAAGGCTCATGGGAGCTGAAATGCGTCAGGTCATACAGTGTCCTTTTTTGTGCATTTGTAACTTTGAACATTTTATGAGGCTTTATTTGGGCCCCTACAAGGTTTTTATGTGTCTTTGAAATAAACACTCTTTTGTATACTTGCTTATGTTTTTAACTTTTGGCCCTCAGTAAGCTTTCTAAACTTCCTTTGGAGGTTTGTGCTTAGTTGGTTTAGATTTTTTCCCCTCTCTTTTTTGAGTGAGACTATCTATAACGCTATAACTCATACCTTATAAATGATATCCTATGCTAGGTTTTAATGGTCACTATTTTTTTCCCCGTATTGAATATTTTAATGTATTTTTATCATTAAATTTCTAGCGGGCTCAGGGCAGCTCTCACAGGTAGGGCACATATGCCAATACATAAATACAAATTTAAAAACAAGATAAAACAATCATTTACGATATTACAAGTGCTCTGGATGTTTC